TTAAAAAAAAAAAAAGCAGCTTTTAGCAAGGAGATGATATTTCCAGTCAATCCAATCTTTTTAGTTAGATTCTTTCTTCTTCTTCTTTCCCTCTGTTTTTTTAAAAGTGGGACAGGGACGAAGGCCATTATCAGTAATTTATTATACTGGATTAAACAATTTTAATTTATTACCACAGTAACTCCTGAGAGAATGGAGTTGAGAAGAACATTGGCTAAGGGGGAAGGGGGGAAGGGGAGCGCCCGAGGTTTTCAATACAATAACTGTCATCTGGGGATGAATCTAGCACAATGAGCAGGCCAGATTCATCCCCGTATGGCAGTAATGAAAACGACTTTCTTGACTCTGGAAGAGGGAGAGAAAGTCGATATCATGACTGGCCTGCTCGTTGTGCTAGATTCATCCGCAGATCGGATTAACGAAACTAGCTTTCTAGACTCCCAGAGAGAGAAAGTCGTCATGACTTCCTTCTGGGGATGAATCTAGGCCAACAGCATGGCAACATTCATCCCCAGATGGCAGACACGAAGACGGCTTCAGAGAGAGAGAGAGAGGAAAGGGGGGGAGAGGGGGGAGAGAAGGCTGTGCCCACACAGGGGTGTGTGTGTGTGTGTGTGTGTGTGTGTGTGTGTGTGTGTGTGTGTGTGTGTGTGTGTGTGTGTGTGTGTCTGTGTGTGTGTGCATGCTCCTTGCCTCATTCTTTTTCTGTTTTGTTTTGTTTTTTTTTTGGTTTGTTTTTTTCTTCGTTGCAATGGCCCAGACTTCTCATTCGTACAGAGGTCGGTACCAGTCCCACATTTATTTTTCCAAAAGGCCTTGTGCAATTTTGGGTTCTCGTGACAGAGCTAAGACAGACTGGTGCAGCTACATATTTTCTTCTTGAGCTATTTGTTTTCAGAAAGGTCTTCGCAAAATTTCCACTGGCACATTTTCCACAGATGAGAGCTTCAGAAGGGTCCCCGCAAATTTCCACCCCCAGAGAGAGAGAGAGAGAGAGAGAGAGAGAGAGAGAGAGAGAGAGAGAGAGAGAGAGAGAGAGAGAGAGAGGGGACAAGGATGTAAACACCAACATGACTGATGTGGGCCAGAGCTCACGTGGCAAAGGGATATCCTTCAATTCTAGATAGACTTGGGGTGCGCATATTAGGCCCTATTTGGGACACCGCAGTGGATAAAAGTTTCCCAGCACCAGGTAACACAGACATCCAGCGCGTCTCGAACTAACAATGTTGCGTTGCCGGCAGTTCTGGCAAACAGCCTCTGACTATTTGGCACATCTTGAAGGTGCTGCAGTTGGACACTCACGAGACCACGGGAAGAGGACGCAGCGAATACGCAGTTATAGACAGTACAATTGTGTGTGTGTGTGTGCTGTAGACTACTTACTACCAGAACAACCCCTTCTCCACCCAGATGCATAGATCCAAGGTTGAGACAGCCCTACCTCATAACCCTTGTCTTACATCGAGTTATATGTGATATTTTTTAACCGATTGTAATGTTTCGATAAATGTTTTTTTTTTTTTTTTTTTTAATGAAGCAAGCGTTACCCTGTCGTGTTCTGAAGGTGAACGTACCCACCACCAGTACCCCAGTTCTGGGGAGGCTCTGACGCAAATGCACATGGACCCGTGCGGGATGCTGACGATTCAGACACCGCATTAACGGCCTAAGAACGTGGAGGTACTGGTGGTTTAAAGTGTGGGATGTGTACACAGTGGTACACACACGTTTGCCTTTCCAGCATGCCTGCACCTTATATTCTGTCCATTCTCCTAGTGATGCTCATTCGTATGCATTTTCGGTAGTTCTAGAGGGGAATGGGAGGGAAAAAGCAGCGAAGAGGAATAGGGGAGTTGGGAGGAGAAGTGCATGGGGAAAAGAGGAACCTCATTGGGTCCTTGACGCTTACAGGTGGAGCAGACTGCTACCGTCGTCCCCCGAACATAACGCATATGCATTGTGAACGAGTGCAACGCGTAGGTTGCTTTCTAATTGGATACAACGCATATGCATTTTATTCGAACAGCCCCCTTACTTTTGAATATAACGCATACGCGTTCTATTCGATTAATTTTTTTTATTATTCGCGCAGTGTAACTCGAATACAATGCATATGCGTTATGTGCAGGGGAAGGCGGTAGGATGGCACAAGCAGACAGCCAGGGGGTGTTGGGTTGCTGAGATAAATGAGCTAAAGGGCGCACGCATCCCCCTATCATAAAGGTCACTGGCCACCCCTGGAGACAAGACAGGAACCGGTTCGGGTGTGGCCGCCTGTGGAAGCACCACCACATCCAATTGACGAAGTTGCAGACGCTGTGTCGGACAGCACAGCGCAGGCAGATGTCACAGGCAACATGGCTCACT